AGATACTCCTTGGAAGCGAGGATGGTCAGACTTCATGTCACCTACTTTGGTCATGTTGTCAGAAGGGACCATTCCCTGGAGAAGGATGTCATGCTTGGTAAGGTGGAGGGTTGACGTAAGAGGAGAAGGCCTTCGACGAGATGGATTGACACGGTGGCTGCGACAATGGGCTCAAGTATAGCAAGGATCGTGGAGCTGGCACGGGATCGGGCGGTGTTTCGTTCTGCTGTGCATGGGGTCACTATGAGTTGGAGGCCACTCGACGGCACCTAACAACAACAACTAACCTGGAGGTTGGTGGATTGATCCCACCCAGTGGACCACAGAAGAAAAGCCTGATCACCTGTTGCCATAAAAATTAACAGCCAAAAAGAACCCTATGGAGCAGGAGGTCGCCATGAGTTAGAATCAACTCAACAGTTACAGGGTTGGGTTTTGTCATTTTCTTTGCTTCCTTCTGGAGAAGGAGTCGGGCAAACAAGACAATGAAGGGGAAGAAGACGAGCAAGAGTGGGACTTCAGGTCAAGATGCAACCTCACCCTCATCCTGCAGGAGCTCAGGAGCGTGACCTGCATCCCAGCTCTTTCCCACCAAAGCTGAAGGAAACCGTGCTTTCAGATCTGCCCAGTTTGGTTTAATACTGTTGAGGAACAAAGCATCTGAAACTTGAGAGTCTTGCAACCGTATCTCTGATCTCTCAGCAGTCCAGGGCTGGGCTGGGCTCAGCTGGGCGGTTCCTCAGCTCCGTGTGATGCTGGCTAGGGCTGTAGTCGCCTGGATGTCCAACTGGATTGGATCATCCAAGAAGCAATGCCCGCACCGTGATGGGGATGTCTAGGAGGCTGGCCTCAGCTGGGTTGCTGGGACCTCTGGGGTCCTCTTGTTCTTGCTGTAGCCTCCTCGGTGCTCTCTCCTCCAGGTGGGCTCTCCAGCAAGGCAGCTGAACTTCTTCCGTGGTAGATCTGGACTCCCCGCAGCGAGCGTTTCAGTGGAAGGAGGCAGAAGCCAGTAGTGTCTGAAAGGTTACCTGTGGAACTAGTGTTATGGGTTCAGTTTAAATTAATAGCCACTATAATGTCCACTTTAGGAGCTCTGGTAGCATAGTGCCTAAGGTACTTGACTGCTAACCAGAAGGCTGGC